AATTTAAATTCAAAGAAGGAAATAAAAATAACGAAAACGAAAGTATCGTTGACTCAAAAGAAGCGATATAATAACGAAACACATAGAACCAATGTAAAGAAAATGGGACAACCTGTATGTGATTAAAACCAAACTACGTTATCGGAGTACGTGTGATGGTGTAAAAACAGAGTTACGCAACCCGCGCATGATTTAACGTAGGAAATAATTTAAGGACATCCGGTATATTTTTAAAAAACTAAATTTAAAATTATAAAGCCAGAGATGCAAAAACATTAGCAAATTTAAATCGAAATACTCATTTAACACGGGGAACAATATCGCGACGTCCTGTATACAATTTAAATTCAAAGAAGGAAATAAAAATAACGAAAACGAAAGTATCGTTGACTCAAAAGAAGCGATATAATAACGAAACACATAGAACCAATGTAAAGAAAATGGGACAACCTGTATGTGATCAAAAGCAAACTACGTTATCGGAGTACGTGTGATGGTGTGAAAACAGAGTTACGCAACCCGCGTATGATTTTACGTAGGAAATAATTTAAGGACATCCGGTATATTTTTAAAATTTTTGAATATGACGCTAGAGATGTAAAAACCAATGCAAAGAAAAAAAATACTAAAATATATTAGCGAGAGATAGTCGCAACTCGAAAACTTTTTCTTCATGTCCGGGTAGGAGCACATAGCAATAGAATTATATTTAATTACCTTAAAAAAAGAAAATCAATCACAATTAACTTTCTCGGGTGCACTTTTAAAACAAACTAAATAAATGCAAATCTCGATGAAGATCATCCCACCTACATTGTCACCCCCACCAATTATTTAATATTTCGCGCCTAGGATAACGATCGCTAAGATCGTCGAACGTTGCCACGTTGAGCGCAAAACGTAGTTATTAAAAATGATGCGAGTTAATTTTTGTTTTTACCAATTATGAGAATCGTCGAAATCTATCTGGAAACACTTTCAACTGCATCCCGTCTCTTTTCGTTGAATTGAAATTGATCTTTTTTCAATAAAAATCGATATAAATCACAATGCAGGGATGCTTCTGGCAACAGTGTCACCCCATCCACTTTTATAACGCTTTTCTGTCCGTCGATCGTAAATCATTTTTTCGCGGGTAAAATAACGGCTGTTAGAGAATCGTCGGACGTTGCCATATTTAAGAGATGCAAAAATCACGAAAATAATCCGATAAATCGATGATCGATTTTAAAAAGGGAAAAATGAAAGCCTACCTCGCTTTAAAATTTCAAACTTGAATGGATAGGAGGAACGTCGGAAACCTACCAGGCTATAGTGTTTACGAAACCGCACCACTCTACGCGCGTTACAGTAAACTCGGTACGAAAATTCGCTTATTTTTCGCCTCCGACGCACCGTTACCGAGATACGGCCCTTTTTCGAATTTTTTTTTTCGATTTTAAAATCGCTATATCTTGAAAATGGTTCGTCCAATCAAAAAAAGGACGAAATTTTCGCCCCAAAGGGGTCGCTTCTCACCCCCCTTTACCCTTAGAAGGCATCTTCTCCGATTTTTTTTTTTCAAAAATTACAAAATTCGAGGGGGTAAAATTTGGAGGGGGGGGGTTGAGACTTTGTCAGTCGATTCCCCACGCCGAGTCGGCCGGTCCGCCTAGTCAATGACGCCGAGGCCGGTACGAAAATTCGCTTATTTTTCGCCTCCGACGCACCGTTTCCGAGATACGGCCCTTTTTCGAAAATTTTTCGAAAATGTCGAAATCTCGAAAACTGCTCGTCGGATCGAAAAACGCACGAAATTTTCGCCCCAAAGGGGTCGCTTCTCATCCCCCTTTACCCTTAGAAGGCATCTTCTCCGATTTTTTTTTTCAAAAATTACAAAATTCGAGGGGGTAAAATTTGGAGGGGGGGGGTTGAGACTTTGTCAGTCGATTCCCCACGCCGAGTCGGCCGGTCCGCCTAGTCAATGACGCCGAGGCCGGTACGAAAATTCGCTTATTTTTCGCCTCCGACGCACCGTTTTCGAGATACGACGATTTGAAAATTTTGAAAATTTTTCCAAAAAACCGCCGTATCTCGGAAACGGTTCGTCGTAGCGAGAAACGGAGAGAATTTCCGCCCCAGAGGGGACGGTTTCCGACCCCGCTTTACCCGGATCCGACATCGTTTCCGCCATTTTCCGGAAAAAAGTTCTTTCGGGGGCGGTAACTCCGCCCCCCGAGGTCGGGGGCGGTTCCGTTCGCGGCGCCGAAATCGCGGCCGCCCCCTCCGCCGACCCGCCAAGTTTCATCCCGATCGAACCGGCCGTTCCCGAGATACATCGCGAGCCGGCAACGTTTAGAGTCAATTCCCGCATAACAAGCGGCGCGCGAAGCGCGGTCGCTTGTTATGCGGGGACTAGGGCGGTATCTGATCGCCTTCGAACCTCTAACTTTCGTTCTTGATCAATGAAAACGTTTTTGGCAAATGCTTTCGCTTCTGTCCGTCTTGCGACGATCCAAGAATTTCACCTCTAACGTCGCAATACGAATGCCCCCATCCGTTCCTATTAATCATTACCTCGGGGTTCCGAAAACCAACAAAATAGAACCGAGGTCCTATTCCATTATTCCATGCACACAGTATTCAGGCGAAGTTTTAGCCTGCTTTAAGCACTCTAATTTGTTCAAAGTAAACGTGCCGGCCCACCTCGACACTCAATGAAGAGCACCGCGGCAGGATTGAGTTGGACCGCCCGCGTGAACGGGCTAAGTCCACCGGCAGGACGTCTCGCGGCACGCCAGTTAACACCGCGGACGATGAACCGGCGGCGCGAGACACAAATTCGACTACGAGCTTTTTAACCGCAACAACTTTAATATACGCTATTGGAGCTGGAATTACCGCGGCTGCTGGCACCAGACTTGCCCTCCAATTGATCCTCGTTAAAGGGTTTAGAGTGTACTCATTCCGATTACGGGGCCTCGGATGAGTCCCGTATCGTTATTTTTCGTCACTACCTCCCCGTGCCGGGAGTGGGTAATTTGCGCGCCTGCTGCCCTCCTTGGATATGGTAGCCGTTTCTCAGGCTCCCTCTCCGGAATCGAACCCTGATTCCCCGTTACCCGTTACGACCATGGTAGGCGCAGAACCTACCATCGACAGTTGATAAGGCAGACATTTGAAAGATGCGTCGCCGGTGCGAGACCGTGCGATCAGCGTAAAGTTATTCAGAGTCACCAAGTTGAACGATGTCGGGCGCGAACCCGCCACCGATTGGTTTTGATCTAATAAAAGCACTCCTTCCGTCTCCGGTCGGACCTCTGTTTGCATGTATTAGCTCTAGAATTACCACAGTTATCCAAGTAATTGTGGGTACGATCTAAGGAACCATAACTGATTTAATGAGCCTTTCGCGGTTTCACCTCGAATTCGCGTATACGGATCGCCTTTGTATGCGGACCGGCTCCATATATATAGACCGCCTTCGTATATGGATCGCCTTGCTATACGCTTCCGTATAGGGATCGCCTCCATATACAGAACGCCTTTATATACGGACCGCCATTATATACGGACCGTCTCTAAATACAGACCGCCTTCGTATACGGACCGCCTCCATATACGGACCGCCTCCATATACAGACCGCCTCCATATACAGGCCGCCTCCATATACAGATCGCCTCTGTGTACGGACCGCCTCCATATACAGACCGCCTCCATATACGGACCGCCTCCATATACAGGCCGCCTCCATATACAGACCGCCTCCATATACAGGCCGCCTCCATATACAGATCGCCTCTGTGTACGGACCGCCTCCATATACGGACCGCCTCCATATACAGACCGCCTCCGTATACGGACCGCCTCTATATGTAAACCGCTTCTATATGCGGACCGGCTCCATATATAGACCGCCTGCATATATAGACCGCGTCCATTTATAGACCGCCTCCATATATAGATCGCCTTTATATACAGACCGCCACATATATAGGTCGTCTCTATATATAGACCGCTTCCATAACCGAAGCTAACCAAAATGGACCAAAGTGATCGTCTAAACGGTAAACCGCCTCGGTGGTGGTTGGCATCACCAAAGCGATAACCGAAACTAACCGAAATGGACCAAAGTGACGTATTGCCTAGACCGTGAACCTCTTCGGTGGCGGTTTGATATCTAATTAAAACTAATAAAAAAAACCGATCAAAATTTAGAATTGAACATCACCGTGATTCAGAACGTTTTGAAATTGAAATAAAAATGTTAAGATATGTGATTACGTATTTTTGAAACGTTCGTCTCGAAACGTTTCGTTCGACGTTAAAGGAAAAAGGAATGGGAAAGGGAAAATGAATTTATTTCATTTTTATTTATTATCGAAAACGAATTCTTTAAAAAACGATTTGGCGGTTCTAAAAAGAACCTTGAAGGTCGCCTGAAATATAACAAATTAGTATTGACAATAAAAAATCCTTGGCCGGTTGTGAACGTCTCGTAGATCTGAAACATTTACAAAAAAAAGGATTAGTTACGTTATGAGATAGTGTGTCGCGAATCGGGTTATCGTCGTATTTTTCTCTATCGTTCGATTGTCCGCGGTATCGAACGTAACGAATAATTTCGACCCTCGTGATGGGATTAAAGTCATAATCGGGTAAAAGTCTCAATCGGGTGAACGTCTTTGTCGGGTTAGAGTTTTAATCGGGAAAAAGTCATCGTTCGTACCGGCGGCAGGAAATATTGGAACTCGTGTACTTAATAAAAATTTGGGAAATGTAATATTTTTATTTGGTAAAAGTCGTGATCGAGTAAACGTCATAATTGGGTAAAAAGTCACGATCGGGTAAAAAGGCTATATCGGGTAAAGGACGTCGTCGGTAAAAAGTCGCCCTCGGTTACAAGTTATTATCGGTGAACTGTCATCGTTGTGTCGTAAAATCGGAACGAAAATGGGGTCGTAAAATGGAAACGAAAATGGATAACCTCGAAAATGTAAAAAGTGGCAAGTTTTCGAATTCAATTGAAGATTTTATCTAAAAACGCCCTATAAACGATATTCTGCGTGAAAACTGGATTATTTTTGCGACCGTCTTTAAAGAAACGACCCTGTCTACGACTTTCCTTTACAAAAATGCGAATATCCTGCCAAGTACGCACTCTGGACAAAGCGACGTACAATTGACCGTGAGCAAAACACGGGACGTTGAGACACAAACCGACTCGCGAAAGAGTCTGTCCTTGCGCTTTGTTGATAGTAATTGCGTGCGCCAACTTAATCGGAAATTGTTTTCTATAAAATGTGCCGCCGCCCGGTAGCAATGGCGTTTCTTTTTCCTCTAAAACGAATTGTTTTCTGATAATGACACATTTACGGCCCTGAAATTGACCGGAAACGATGCGGCCGACTATCACGTCATCGCCCATCTCCAAAACGATCATTCTCTGTCCGTTACAAAAACCCCTCCGCACGTTAAGATTTACCAAAAGGACTACCACCGAACCGATCTTCAAAGTCAACCGATGTGGCGGTAGTCCCGACAAATCTAAACTTTCGATAATTTCACTGGTGACTCCCGTCGCGAGGGGATTGGCGATTTCGTGATCGTCGGCCCCATCCTCGTTACTCTGTCTATCGTAGAAATTGGTCGCCAAAAAGACCCTCTCCGATCCTGACGGATCGGGGAAGATCTTTGAGATGATTTCGTTCAACTCATCGACCTCGCTGTTCACGGGACAAAGGATCGACCGGAGGGCCAATCGCTCGGCTAATTCCAAGAATCGCTCGTTCGTCCCGGGAAGAGCGAGCATCGATTCGAAGACGTCCCCGTAAACAAAGTCGACGAGTTGTTGGCGCGATTTGACAATTAATTTGGAAGGAACGAACAGACAGTTATCGGAAATCGGTTCGCGTCCGTTGTCCGAAACGATTCTTTCCCCGTCGCCTACTCTCCTGATGAAATTCGACCATTCCACCTCTTGCGGATGAACACGCATGTTTTCCGTTAACGTGCACGGTTGAAAAGTACTCCATGCCGGATGCGAAACGATGGACTCGAACACGGACGCCATTCCCGCTCGCCTACCCTTGACAACGGGAAGCAACTGCTTGGGATCGCCGCTAAGAATAACGGTTTTCCCACCGAACGGTCGTCGCGATTGACCGTATTCCCGACACACGGCATCGATCATTTCCAACATCCACGACGCCAACATAAACACCTCGTCTAACACGACGAGTCTCGCGTTTCGAATATCGTCGGCCGCCTCCGACTCGCCCACCAAATTAGAAACCGGCGTATCGTCTACGCTTCTTTCTCTAGGAATGCCGAAAGAAGAATGAATCGTAGCCGCGTTCCGGATTAACGTGGCCGCGATCCCCGTAAAAGCCGCGGATACGTACGGTAACGCGCGACGTTCCGCCTCTTCCAAAATAACGTTGACGGTCGCGGTTTTGCCGGTGCCCCCTTCGCCGGTCAAAACGAAAACGATACCGTTACGATCGCATACAGACTGTAAAACCTCGTAAACGAATCCCAGCTGTTGATCGTTGAGATCGATCAAATGCAAATTTTGATTCGGTCTCGGAACGAAAGCGAATTCCTCGAACGTAACCTCTTCCTCGTCCAAAAGTTGTTCCGCCTCCTCGTCGTAAACCCAATCGGAAATCCAATCCCGAGGAAGATTAATTTTTTCCATCGAAGTGGAGCATTCGACCAGAAATCGATCTACGAAACTCCAAAGGACCGTATACCGACACGTACGGAGCACGTGCATCCTTTCGTTTAAGTCGCCCGCGCCCTCTTCGTCGATATCTCTGATTAAATCGATATGAATCCTATGCACGTCCGCGGACATACGCCTGCACCATCTTTTAAATAAAGTTCGGGGATTCTTCGACGGATTGTACAAGAGAATTAGAGCGAACGCTTCCCTTAAATAAAACGGATGACGAAGACGATCCGCTATCCAATCTAAAATCTTGTCCGCCTCTTCGTCGTCGTCCGGGATCAATTTTAACGCTACGCAAGCGGCCTGATACGAAGGACATAAAACGCCGTTTACGGTTTTCGCGTCCACGAACGAAATCAAACCTGTCACGTTGCCCAAAATCATTCGTAGATAGTAGCGCTCCATATTCCCCGGACTCGGATAAACCGGACTCATACGACCTATAGAACTGGTGGGTCGTGACTTGGCGACCCAACGACCTTGCCGCCAAGAGTGCGTTTCGACGATGTCGACGTAGAACCGTCGCCGACCCGTCGCCTCCTCCGCCGCGTTCAATTCGAACCAAGCGACGAGCTTGGAACGCTCGCCCCTTTCGACTACGGTCACCTCGTCCCCTTCCCTGTAAATTTCACAAGCCTCTCCTTCCAAATGCACGGGCAACTTTTCGATGGCGTGACTGATATGGAACATGCCATTTCCCAAGATGCGATAGACCGCCTCGTGCGGTCCGATATATCTCATTTTAAGGAATGCCGCCGCCTCGTTCCAATCTATCGTACCGGTGGTCGTATTCACTTGCATCTCAACGCATTGGACGTTCGCTACGTCTAACCCCTTATTGACGTAGGCGTTAATGTATCGACACACCTGGATCGGGTTTCCGACGCAAAGTTCCAAATTGACGTGGCATTTGAATCGCGTCAACAGCGTCGGATTATAAGGGATAATCCATTCGTTGCCGACCAAACGATTTTGTTGCCTGTTAAAAAAGCAAACACCCGGAGGACGTCTGTAAAGAATTTGCTTCTCGATCTTAAAAACGGTACTCGATATTTGCTGTTTCGGATATTTCCACCGGCATCGATCGACAACGGTCCAGCAAGGCGGTCTTCTGACCCTCGAATTTCCGACACCTATCTCCGCCTCTTGTTCCTCCTCCTCGTCATTGTCGTCGATTTCCTGTTCGACGTTTTCCGGTTCGATATCGCACTTGTTATGTATCATGAACGTGTTGACCAAGTGACGAAGCGATTCGAAACCGTTACCGTCAGAAGGTTCGGGCCATCTCGCCCAAATGACCCTATCCACATCCTCTCCCGAAACGGGAACGTCTTCTCTGGACAAATAGAGAAGGATATGCGCGTGCGGAGCGCCGCGTTTTTGGAATTCTACCCTGACAACGTATCCTTCGATTTTCCCTAAGATTTGACGCTCGGTCAAATCTCCCATCAAGGCATTCAATTTTTGTTCGAATACGCGACACAAAACCTCCGGAAAGTTTCCTATGTCGGACACGGATTTGTCGCGGCGGTTCATCTCGTCGATTACCTCTTGCCAATTTTTGTTTGACGTGAACGTGAGAAGGTAAGTGGGAACTCTTCTCAATTTCGCGCACAAAGCCAAACTGTCTAGATAACCGTTGTGGTAGTACCGCCTGGTACCGGGAATCGTAGCCGGTAAGATGATGATGCGACCGGGACGTACGCGAGGTAGACCTTCATTTCCCTCGTTTATTTGAGCCGTCCGCATTTCCAAGAACCTTTTCAAACTATCGTAGGTATCGGATCGTAATACCTTTTGATTTTTTTCCGCCCAAGAGACGTCGTTGTACTCGATTTTGACGGCGGCGTCGATGATGTATTGTAAACGCAATTTACCTACCAAATCCAAGACATTCCAATAACGACCGCCCTTTGTCCTCGGAATATCCGATAACAACCGAAATCTGTAATATTGTCTTAACGTGTTGACCTTGTCGGCGGATTCGTTCCAAGAACTCTCCGCGTGCAAATGAACTAAAGGATATAACATTAGATCTAGCGTGGCCGTGATAACGGAAATCTCTCTATACGGCAAAGCCGCGTCCTCCTCCAACGGTCTTGGAACAAACTCCACGTCGTAGTAGCAAGGGGGCCTGTCCCCGATGTAAATACCCGCGATCGTTTCGTTTCTCGGAAATTGAAGTCCCGAGACGCGAGCCGCGGCTTCGGATATCCTCCTACGGTGGTATCCCGCTTTACGTGGACCGTTTCGTTCGTCCTTGATCCGCGGATTAACGCATAAAACAATTTCCCTAACTTCCCTGTTATTGACGGCGGCGTTTTCGACCTCCTCCCTATATAATTGGCCTGCCCATTTAAAAATTTTACATAATCGATTTTCCCGTCTTAAATACGATTCGAATGAATCGACAACGTCCTCGGATAATTGTCCCGAAACGGTGGAAAAAGACCTTCGCAAATTGGCCGTGTTTTCCGATACGTCCATGAAATAAAGATGCGCCTCGTTAAAACGACGATTTCCTGTTCGATGCGAATCCGCCATAAACCTCACTTGACGATTGATTACCGCGGTCGATGTAGCCGGACGGCCCGATCCGTACATCCCTAGACCGGCGTAATTGCCCCTGGGATGGGCCATAGCGAAAATGCTATTATAGGCCCTGGAAAATTTTCCAAAATGCCGCATTAATTCATACTCGTCTACGTTCAATTTTCCTCCGGCGTACAATTTGAGAAGGTTCAAATCGACCGGTTTCTTAAATAACGCGTCTTCGCCCAAGACATTACGACCGGAAGAACAACATAAATCGCTTCGACCCGTTTTTCGATACAATTCGGAAAACCAAAAAGCAGCCCCGCAAAATGGACAAAACCACCTTTCCCTTCCTAGATAATGAGTTTCGATTAAATCAAAATCAACGTCCTCGTGATATACGGCATTTTGATAAAAATTGTTGATTCTCTCGTTTCGAATACGCCACTCTCGCTTGTGCGTATCGAACGGAGGTAGAGGGTGCCAAGCGCGACCCACTCTACCGCGGATGACCGGCCTCGAGGCTTCCGCCACCGATTCCGCGATGGAATCCAAATCGTCTTCGTCGTCGTAGTCTTTTTCCTCGTTGTGTTGTTTTGACATCGTGATCGTCTCCTCCAAAGGACTCTTGGTAGGATTGACGCTAATTTCAACCGATTCTTCGCCAACGACAGACGGCTCCGATTCCCTGACGTTCTCGACGACGGAATCCCGGACAAAAGTGTCCATGACCTCCACACCTGACCTAGACAAATCGAAATTGCGCCGCATTTCGATATAACAATCGTAATGATTGTGTCCACTGTATCTTAACAAAATCGGATTGGTATCGTCCATTCTTCCCTGATCTAAGAGAATTTTTCCGTTTTCGATGATCAAAAACCTCCTATTATAAAACGAAGAAAGTGCGAAAACTTCCATGGCGGAACCCCATTCGCCGTTTTTTGACATGACATTTTTGTAATCATCAAAATTTGTAAAATCGGTCCAAACCGCTAGATCGTTCCAATTGTTTTCCGCCGCCGCGATCGCGTCCGATCTTACCTGGAAATGTTGCCGGTCGTTACCGTGCAATCCCACGGCGATAGAACGAAACAGGCAATTCCCGTCGCCGGCCGCCACTCGATACCGTCCGTATCGATCGCTTCTAATTTGTTCGCTTTCCATTATTATTTTCGACTAGAAACTTCTGAATAAAAAAAGAAAAACGCGAATAAATTATACGATAAAATGTGCAAGAACGCATAAATCGACACATATTTAAAGAAAAACGTAAAAAAAAAATTAGAACATTTAAAATTTAATAAGAACCGTCAAAATAACAGAACGATATCGCGACGTTCTGTATACAATTTAAATTTAAAGAAGGAAATAAAAAAAAAACGAAAACGAAAATATCGTTCGCTCGAAACAAACGATATAATAACGTAACACATAGAACCAATGTAAAGAAAATGGGACAACCTGTATGTGATTAGAAGCAAACTATCTTATCGGAGTACGTGTGATGGTGTGAAAACAGAATTACGCAACCCGCATATGATTTTACGTAGGAAATAATTTAAGGACATCCGGTATATTTTTAAAAAACTAAATTTAAAATTATGAAGTCAGAGATGCAAAAACTTTAACAAAATTAAATCGAAATACTTATTTGCCGCGGTGAACAATATCGCGACGTCCTGTATACAATTTAAATTCAAAGAAGGAAATAAAAATAACGAAAACGAAAGTATCGTTGACTCAAAAGAAGCGATATAATAACGTAACATATAGAACCAATATAAAAAAAATAGGACAACCTGTATGTGATTAGAAGCAAACTATTTTATCGGAGTACGTGTGATGGTGTGAAAACAGAGTTACGCAACCCGCGCATGATTTAACGTAGGAAATAATTTAAGGACATCCGGTATATTTTTAAAAAATTAAATTTAAAATTATAAAGCCAGAGATGCAAAAACATTAGCAAATTTAAATCGAAATACTCATTTACCGCGGGGAACAATATCGCGACGTCCTGTATACAATTTAAATTCAAAGAAGGAAATAAAAATAACGAAAACGAAAGTATCGTTGACTCAAAAGAAGCGATATAATAACGAAACACATAGAACCAATGTAAAGAAAATGGGACAACCTGTATGTGATTAAAACCAAACTACGTTATCGGAGTACGCGTGATGGTGTAAAAACAGAGTTACGCAACCCGCGCATGATTTTAGGTAGGAAATAATTTAAGGACATCCGGTATATTTTTAAAAAATTAAATTTAAAATTATAAAGCCAGAGATGTAAAAACATTAGCAAATTTAAATCGAAATATTCATTTACCGCGGGGAACGATATCGCGACGTCCTGTATAAAATTTAAATTCAAAGAAGGAAATAAAAATAACGAAAACGAAAGTATCGTTGACTCAAAAGAAGCGATATAATAACGTAACACATGGAACCAATATAAAAAAAATGGGACAACCTGTATGTGATTAAAAGCAAACTACCTTATCGAAGTACGTGTGATGGTGTAAAAACAGAGTACGCAACCCGCGCATGATTTAACCTAGGAAATAATTTAAGGACATCCGGTATATTTTTAAAAAACTAAATTTAAAATTATGAAGTTAGAGATGCAAAAACTTTAACAAAATTAAATCGAAATACTTATTTGCCGCGGTGAACAATATCGCGACGTCCTGTATACAATTTAAATTCAAAGAAGGAAATAAAAATAACGAAAACGAAACGTCGGACACAATTTTAAATTATTGCATCGTCTTCAGCGAACCTCAAAACCCCCGGAATCACATTCAAATTCCAATTATTACGAATTAGTTCTCTGAAGATGGCTTCTTGCGAAAACGAAACGTCGGACAAAATTTTAAATCATTGCATCGTCTTCGGCGAACCTCAAAACCCCCGGAACCATCTTCAAATTCCAATTATTACGAATTAGTGCCCTGAAGATGGCTTCCTGCGAAAACGAAACGTCGGACAAAATTTTAAATCATTGCATCGTCTTCAGCGAACCTCAAAACCCCTGGAACCACCTTCAAATTCCAATTATTACGAATTAGTACTCTGAAGATGGCTTCTTGCGAAAACGAAACGTCGGACACAATTTTAAATCATTGCATCGTCTTCGGCGAACCTCAAAACCCCCGGAACCACCTTCAAATTCCAATTATTACGAATTAGTACTCTGAAGATGGCTTCTTGCGAAAACGAAACGTCGGACACAATTTTAAATCATTGCATCGTCTTCGGCGAACCTCAAAACCCCCGGAACCACCTTCAAATTCCAATTATTACGAATTAGTACTCTGAAGATGGCTTCTTGCGAAAACGAAACGTCGGACACAATTTTAAATCATTGCATCGTCTTCAGCGAACCTCAAAACCCCCGGAACCACCTTCAAATTCCAATTATTACGAATTAGTGCTCTGAAGATGGCTTCCTGCGAAAACGAAACGTCGGACACAATTTTAAATCATTGCATCGTTTTCAGCGAACCTCAAAACCCCCGGAACCACCTTCAAATTCCAATTATTACGAATTAGTGCCCTGAAGATGGCTTCCTGCGAAAACGAAACGTCGGACACAATTTTAAATCATTGCATCGTTTTCAGCGAACCTCAAAACCCCCGGAACCACCTTTAAATTCCAATTATTACGAATTAGTACTCTGAAGATGGCTTCTTGCGAAAACGAAACGTCGGACACAATTTTAAATCATTGCATCGTTTTCAGCGCACCTAAAAACCCCCCGAAATCTCCTTCAAATTACAATTATTACAAATTAGTGCTCTGAAGATGCCTTCCTATTAAAACGAAACGTCGGACACAATTTTAAATAATTGCATCGTCTTCAGCGCACCTCAAAACCCCCATAACCGCCTTCGATACCGTTATCATTCATGACGTCATTCCAAGGAATATCTATAATGAAAGGAGCCTCTCACGACATGCATGGACCAATAGGATCAAAGATTAGGAAAATTACACGTATAATCATCGGACCAATCACAGTAAAGCATTCAAATCGATCTCATAGCCTGCTCCTGGATTAGAAACATTATTTTCACAATATTAACATTTCTATTTTTTTTTTAATACTTACGTAGCTCCGAGAGGATTGAAATTTTTTTTGAAGTTGAAGGTTAATAAGGTCTATTCGCAGCCACTATAAAATCCCCCCCCACCCCCCATTTTTAGTTAATATTTTCGATTTATTCTTTCAATGTTTGTCATAATTTTCTTTAAAAATTTAGATTTTTAATTTTTTAAAATACTTACGTTACTCGGAGAAGGTTGAAATTTTTATCAAGGATGGAGGTCAATGAGGTCTATTCACAGATACCATAAAACTCCTCCCACCCCACTCCATTCAAATAATATTAATTATTTTTGAAAAATTTGCAGCCTTATGTATAAACCGCTCTCGGCGACAAACGGTGAAACTTGTGGAAATCTTTTTGATATCGTTAGATAGAGAAAGGACCAAGGTACTTAACGTGTAAATTTCAATTTTTCAAAATAATAAGTAAATAAGATATAAAACGTTAAAAATTGATTATTAATTTTTAAGTCAATTTTTCCATTTAAAATAAGATTTTAAGGTTATTTCTCGGCCCGTACTGCTTCGAGTAAGCTGAAATTTTTGCGAAAGATACACACTAATGAGGTCTATTCGTAGATACTATAACGTCCCACTCAACTCCCCCTTTTTTGGTTAATATTTGCATTTTATTATTTTCGTATTTATCATGTTTTTCTTCAAAAATTTTAAATTTTTAATTTTTTAAACTATCTACATTTCTCCCAGAAGGTTGAAATTTTTATCAGAGTTAGAGGTCAATGAGGTCTATTCGCAAATACCATAACGTCCGTCTCCCGCCCTCCCCATCATTAATTAATATTCTCAGATTATAATTTTCATGGATATCGTGATACTCCTCAAAAATTCCCATTTTTATTTTTTTTAAATACCTGCATTACTTCGAAAAAATTGATTTTTTTTTTAAAGATGGAGGCCAATGAGATCTATAAATAAAAATTATAAAGTCCTCCTCAGCTCTCACCATTTAAATATAAATAATAATTAATAAAATTTTTGAAAAAAATGCAGTCTCCAACAAAAAGCATTTCCGACAAAAAACTATAGAACCTGTGTAAGATCTTTTAGTATCATTAAATAGAGAAAAGACCAAAGTATATAATGAATAGGTTTTTAAATTCCTAGAATCATAAATAACGGAAATATAAAACATTTTTTGAAAAAAATCCGTTTTTTTTTGTTAATATTTCGTCCCCCGGAAGGACTAAGAAAGTTATAATTAAACAACTGTCTATTTTTTTTGAATACCCCCCCGACCCCCTATCTTCGTACCAAATTTGAGTCGGATCGGTTAACATCGACCTCGATCCAAATTTTCATGAGTGGTTTGGTCGTGATTTTGTCTAAAAATTTATGTTTTCGGTTTTTTAAAATACCTACGTCGCTCCGAGAAGATTGAAATTTTATCGAAAGATGGCGGTCGATGAGGTCTATCCGTAGATACCATAAAGTCCCCCCCAGCCCCCTCCATTTAATTGCAATTAAGCATTTTTAAAAAATTTGCAGCCTCCCACAAAAACCGCTCCCGACGGCAAACCATACGACTTGGATAAAACTTTTTGATATCGTCGGATAGAGGAAAGACCAAGGTATATAGCGTATAAATTTCAAATTCTCAAAATTGTAAATAAGCGAGATATTAAACTTTGAAAATCGACCATCGATTTTCGGGCCGATTTTTGAGCCCGAAATGCGATTTCGAGGTGATTTCTCAAAACTGGATAAAATTTTGCATTAGGGGGTTTTCGGGGACGAGAAATTCGAATTTGTAATTATTTTTGGAAAAAAACTATAAATTATAGATGATTTATCAATATAACCCATTTTCCCGTATACCCTGCATTTATAATGTTTTTTTAATTTTTTCAAATACCGAGAAGGTTAAAATTTTTATCAAAGATGAAGATCAATGAGATCTATTTACAGATATCATAAAATTCCCCCCAGCCCCCTCCGTTTAAATGTAATTAATTATTCAACATAAATTTATAACCCCATGAAAAAACCGTTCCCGACGACAAACGGTATAACTTGTGGGAATCATTTTAGG